AAATAGAATTTTCTGTGAAATTCCTTTAAAACGCTACTCCTACAGTTTTGGTCTGATTTCAATATAACTTGGCACACAAGTAGACTACACTAAGATACATAGAATAGTGCATCGGTTTTTGATTTCGATGAACGGTATTGCTATGGTTACTAAAAATAGAATTTTCTGTGAAATTCCTTAAAAACGCTACTCATTCTACAGTTTTTGTCTGATTTCAGTATAACTTGGTACACAAGTAGACTACACTAAGATACATAGAATAGTGCATCAGTTTTTGATTTCGATGAACGATGTTGCCATGGTTACAAAAAATAGAATTTTCTGTGAAATTTCTTTTAAAATGCTCCTCCTTCTACAGTTTTGGTCTGATTTCAATATAACTTGGCACACAAGTAGACTACACTAAGATACATAGAATAGTGCATCGGTTTTTGATTTCGGTGAACGGTGTTGCCATGGTTACTATAAATAGAATTCTCTGTGAAATTCCTTTAAAACACTACTCCTTCTACAGTTTTGGTCTGATTTCAAAATAAGTTGGCACACAAGTAGACTACACAAAGATACATAAAATAGTGCAATGGTTTTTGATAAGTACAAACCAGTAGAGCTACAGTCTCGACAGAGACTTCTGGTTTAAATTTGGAATAAATCCTTCTTCATATGAATTCAAAAAAGTCTTCTTATAACGGGGCGCAGTTGGTACCCCTTGAAATTCCCATTGATTTCTGGGGGACCTGGTACACAAAAACCACATAGATATTGTCAATCAAAATTCAAACTTCTTTTCAGTATCAACTTCAGAGTAATATTGCAAATGTCGAATGACAAGATAAGTAAATGTACGAGTTTCATTTTTATGAAAAAGCAGCCGTCAATGATGGCCGGTAAGGCGTGATTATACTGGGATAAATTGATATAATCTGCAAAACTATAACTACTTTTATTCATAGTCCCTATTTAAACTAAAATTATGTTCAGCTTTTACATGCCGAAAAGTTCTCTCTCCCTGAAATTACAAACGAAATTAAAATTTTATTGAAATATGTGTGCATAAACACACACACACACACCCTCACCCTTCCTGTCAAAACACATATACCTACACACACAGACATAACACAGATACACACAAACTCCTTAAGTATGATGTATGCGTTCGATACGAGTAACATCGATACTTAATCAATATATATTTTCTAGAAAAGCTCTTAAAAAAATTGATTATCAACGGAATTGATAAAAATTAACTAGGGGTCATATTGATAAAAATACCCAGTAATCAATGAATCTTGAATAAGGAAGAATATATTAGAAAACATGCCAGCCAGATCAAGGGAAAATTTCATCATTTTAAAGCAGTTTTATCATGGCCAAAACAGTCTGTTAAAATAAATGGAGCAACAAAAAATTCAAAGATTCTTACATTAAGCAACATTTCAATTATTTAAAATCAATATTAGTTAATTACATGTATTAACTTTAATATCATTATAAGAGGCATGGGTAAAACAATTCAAAGTTGAAAACTTGCACTAAAATAAGTGCATTTTTAAGTTTGAAAAAAAAAATCAAATAGCATTCAGGGTTTTTTTTCAAACTCAAAAAATAGAAGGATAATTTAAGTTTTCTGTCTGGATCCTTTAATTCAAAATTTCTTAATGCATCTGATATTTTCCATTTATAAAATTTTTATCTTTTTCAAGTTGTTTATTTCATTTTGCTGACATCGTGATTTCCATTGAATGTTATCCGTCTGTTTTAAAGAAATAATCTTTTTTCAGTTTTTACTCTTATTTTTTGTTGAAAATTTGAAAAAAAATACCGAGACATATTTCGTGTTTTAATAGACAATTTATATTAGTTAACTCTTGTCCAGAAGTTTTTGAAAAATAATTTTATAGGCTAAAAAAAAATATTTTCGCATTTCTAACAAAAATAATAATTACTAGAAACTCTTGTTGCTACAGCAACAAAGAAGGTCTTCCGTTCTCCTCTATTTATCTACATGAATGAGCTTTTATCTATGTTAAAAAGGCATATAATATTTTTAATGATTTCAGGAAAACAAACAGCCGGAAGTGTAACTTACCAAGATTCTTTTCTTTACTTTAGACAATTATAGTCTTAATAACATGTACAAAAATCATTTTCATTTTTTTTTTCACTTCCTGTGACGACCGGAAGTGACGGCGTACGCATTTTGCCCTATATTTTTTGCCCAGTCTTCATGTTGTTTTATTCAGATAAGTTTAGAGAGAGAGAGAGAGATCTTGTAATATTATCTTCTCATCTCGAGGACAAAATAATCACGTGACCGGAAGTAAATTTTTGAAAAGATATTTGAGGTTACTCTAAATATTTAAGTCTAAATAACATGTCCTAAAATCATTTCTAATGCTCTTCTTATCAAAAATATTTATGGGATAGTATAATACTAAATTTATGCAGTTTTTCTTTCATAAGCGGAAGTTGTCCATTTTGTTTCCAGTGGGACTGACATATTTCAAAACTACAAAAAAGATGCTATAATGTATTACTAAGAAAGATTCCATAAGAAAAGTTTTTATTCATTTGTTCACTTCCTGTGACAACCGGAAGTGACGGTGGACAATCTTTTCCTGACTATTTTTGCCTACACATCTAGATCTACCACTTGTAAAAGTTTGGTGTCTTAATCTCTTACCCTTTACGAGATCTAGTTATGATAACTTCTCATTTTGAGGACAGGAAATCACGCAACCGGAAGTGAAAGATATTTGGCGTTACTGAAGACAGTTACAGTCTTAATAACATATCCAAAAATCATTACAAATACTTCATCTATAAAAAATATTTACAGGAAAGAAAAATACTCAAATTATGAAGCTTTTCTCTTATAACCGGAAGTTGTCTTCTTTGTTTCCGGTGTTACTGACTTATTTCAAAACTACAAATAAGATGCTATTATGTGATGAAAAAAAGTTTCCATAAGGGAAAGTTGAATTTTTGGACTTCTTTGATCACTTCCTGTGACGACCGGAAGTGACGACAGACGATCTTATCCCCCATGGAATTGCTTACTCATCAGGATATACCATTTGTAAAAGTTTGGTGTCTTAATCTCTTACTGTTTAAGAGATCTAGCTATAATAACTTCTAATTTTGAGGACAGGAAATCACACGCAACCGGAAGTGAATTTTAAAAAAAAAAATTGATGTTACTGTAGACATTTGCAGTCTGAATAACATATCCAAAAACAGTTGCAAACACTTTATCTATAAAAAATATATATTGGAAAGAAAATACTCAAATTATTTAAGTTTTCTCTTATAACTGGAAGTTGTCGTTTTTGTTTCCGGTGGAGCTGATATATTTTGAAACTACAAATAAAGCGCTATGTGATGCAATAAACGTTCCATAAAAGAAAAGTTGAAATTTCCGATTTTTTGACCACTTCCTGTGACGACCGGAAGTGACGGCGGACAATCTTAACCTATATGTTTTTGCCTTTTCGTCAAGATATACCACTCCTATAAGTTTGGTGTCTACATCTCTTACCGTTTCCGAGATATAGCTATAAGAACTAATCATTTTGAGGACAGGAAATCACGCGACCGGAAGTGAATTTTCCAAAGATATTTGACGTTACTGTAGTCATTTGCAGTCTGAATAACATATCTAAAAATCATTTCAAAAACTTTATCTATAAAAAATATATATGGGAAAGAAAAATACTGAAAATATGCAGTTTTTCTCTTATAACCGGAAGTTGTCGTTTTTGTTTCCGGTGGGACTGACATATTTCGAAACAACGAGTAAGATGCTATAATCTGATGCAAAAAAACTTTCAAAAAAGAAAAGTTGAAATTTTCGATATTTAGGAACACTTCCTGTGACGAGCGGAAGTGACGGCGGACGATCTTAACCCAAATGGATTTGCCTACTTATCAAGATCTATCATCCCTGTAAGTTTGGTGCTTTAATCTCTTACCGTTTCTGAGATCTCACTCGGATTAAATATTTTTGAAAAAAGCGGAAATCGGACATATCTGACGACCGGAAGTAAATTTTGAAAAAATGAAAAAAACGTCTCGGGGTATTTTCATTCTCTATCATCCCTGAAAATTTCAGGAAAATCCGTCCAGCCATCTCTGAGAAATCCTGCCGACAAGATTTGGGGAAAAAAATAATAATAAGAATAATAATAAGAAAAAACAGTAGAATCACTGTAAGGTCTTCCGTCTGAAACGGAAGACCTTAAAAAGAAAATTATTAAAAATTATAATTTAACAAACTGAAAAGTGAGGGTATTTCAAATACATCTAATTTATGTAAATACAAATAGAAAAGTTTTGTTTGGTATCCCAAAGTATATTTTAATATAGTTCAATTTGTTTCTTTTTTTCGTTATGAATGTATGAGAGAGAGAGAGAGAGATGCATGATGATCATATTGCTAATCGCAACATTTTCCGACCAATTAACGACATTTATGTAGGTTTTGTAGATTTCTCTCAAGTTAAATATATCCAATTGCACAAATAAGTTATCTACATGTAATAATCTATAAAGTAAGAAATCTAAGTTTTATATGAGTGTGTTAGCGCTATGACATGGCAGCTCCACCTCTGACTATTTAGCTTGTTTTCTCCTTTATTGCTATAGTTCCAGTTTTAAGATTTGTTGTGCATTTTTGTAATAGCCTTTTTAATCAAGAGCAGATTTCTATTTTTCTCAAAAACCTTGCTTTTTTAGTAATTTTTTAAAATAATGTTTGGTTATTAGGTTCATTGAACCGTGACTTTATCGCAATTCTATTGGTACGAGCTATCTTGTTCTTGTGTTCCTGTTGTGTTTTAAGTCGTTCCATATACTTTCGTACTCATTTTAGATATATATGTTCTGTGTGACTTTATTCTGGCTCTACTGGTACGAGTTATCTTATTCTTGTGTTTCAATTGTGTCTTAAGTCGTTCCACATATTTTCGTACTCAACTTAGAAATATAGTTGTCGTACGATGTGTTTTGTAAGACCATGTGTTGCTGGTGTACCAGGTCGAACGGATACTTCTCGTTTCAGAAGGGGGACGAAAGCTGGACGCAGGGTCATCAGGCATATCCACACTGTCTGTGGTGGGCGGTTGAGATACGAAGGACATCAACTGGGGGTTAATGGAGATAACCTGGTGTATATCTTCGATGATATACTAAGGAATCCTTCATCTTCCTTGAAAGTTTCTGATGAACCATGCGAAGCTCTCCCAATCCCAACATTTATTCAAAATCGAGTAAAGAGAATTGATTATCCAAACAGTCGTAATGATTCAAATTTGTCAAGACCAAAGATCTTTGACCTAAACACTTCCTACGGTACGGATGCCGTGTGTAAGATAAACACTCGCATTACGTATGGTAAACCAAGAAAAGTTGGTATGGAAAACAGAATTCAAACACTCACGAAAGTGAAATTGAAAAACATAAGACCAAGTTCAAAGCTGTTTTCATTGTCTTCTCTTAACTGCAGATCAGTTAAAAACAAATCACTATCAATATGTGACTATATACTTACAGAGGACCTTGACTTAGTCGCACTGACTGAAACTTGGTTAGGTTCCTCTGTTGATGAAGCTGTTGTGAATGAACTGAAACCATCATGCTACGAAATCATTCGTCAAGATCGCAACAGTGGACGCCGTGGTGGTGGAATAGCTCTTGTCTTTAAGAATGGAATTGATGTGACCGTTCTGAACACAAGCTCGGATATTTTCACTCAATTCGAACATCTAAAAGTTACAGTCCGAATAGAAGACATGAGAATGAATCTATGTATCATTTACAGACCGCCACCTTCTACTGTGAATGGTTTAACTACCAGTCAGTTCTTCTCAGAATGGGACACCTATCTTGATCAGAATACTATATTTCCCCAAGACCTAGTAATCACAGGTGATTTCAATTTTCACGTCGACAATCGTAGTGATCCTGAGGCAAGCAGGTTGTTACAATCCCTTGATGATCGCAACCTTATACAACACGTGGACGAGCCGACCCATGTTCACGGACATATCCTAGACTTGCTAATCACACGATCATCTAGTGAAATACTACATTCACGTCATCAAGTCAAAAATCCTTCATTGAGCGATGTGAAAGGAAACTTGTGCTGTGACCACTATGCTATACATGCAACGTTCAACTGCAGAAAGCCACAACATCACCGTAAAGAGATTACGTTTAGAAGGCTCAAGAATATCAACATATATGACATGAGTAGAGATATTAAAAATCAACTACAAGATGAATCCGCACGAAATGAGAACACGTCTGTTGACCATTTAGTACAAGGGTACAACAAATGCCTCTCGCATATTCTAAACACTCATGCGCCTCTTGTTAGCAAGTCAATTCTTATAAGAGCTAACACAGAGTGGTACACAGACGAGCTCAGGACAGCGAAACAACAGAAGCGGAAAACGGAGAGACGTTGGCGTAGATCTAAACTGGAAATACACCACCAGCTTTTTAAAGCGGAATGTAAGCAAACAGGCCAATTACTACACAAGGCAAAAGAAGAATTCTATTCTACTAAAATTCAGGAATTTAGATATGATCTGAAAAACTTCTTTAGGGTGACGAATTTATTGATGGGTAAGAATCAGGAGAGTCCCCTACCAACATCACCATCAGATGAAGATCTTGCAAATAAATTTTCAACATTTTCATAGACAAGGTAATATCCATTAGAGAGACATTTAAACAAAAAAAAACAACAAAAGAAGACAGTATTTAGGCACAGACGTATACTATCACGGGCCTCTATTAGCTGCTTTTGAACGTACCACTGAAGATGAAGTACGATCACTAATAATGAAGGCACCCAGTAAATCATGCAAACTGGATCCAATTCCAACAAAGCTACTGAAAAAGTGCCTGGATCCGGTAATACTGCTTGTCACAGACATGGTAAATGCATCTCTCGATCAGGGAATTTTTCCGTCTGCTTGGAAGGAGGCCATAGTTCGTCCACTTCTTAAGAAACCTGGACTAGATAAGGAAGTGTTGAAAAACTATCGGCCCGTATCGAACTTGAGTTTTATCTCAAAAATATTGGAGAAAGTTGTGGCTCGTAGGATTGATGCCCATTTGGATGCGAATTCTCTTCGCGATCCACTTCAGTCGGCATATCGTCCCAGGCACTCCACGGAAACGGCCCTCATCAAGGTCCACAACGATATTGTGACAGCCCTAGACCAACAATCTTCAGCAGTCCTTGTCCTTCTGGATTTATCCGCTGCTTTTGATGTTATTGACCATAATATATTGTTCCAACGCCTAACTGTGTCTTATGGTTTCCGTGATGGAGCTCTTGAGTGGATCAAGTCTTACCTCAAGAACAGAAAACAATGTGTCACAATTGGATCCGTCCGATCAGAGTCTAGACAACTGCCTTTTGGTGTCCCCCAAGGATCTGTACTCGGACCGAAATTGTATTGCCTCTTCTCCAAACCCATTGGAATCATATGCCACCGCCATGGAATGATATATCACTGCTAATCTGCTATGCAGATGATACACAAATCTACATGATCATAAGACCACTGGAAAATTGGAACAATTACTTCTCTCGACTTGAAGCGTGTCTTAGTGAAATTGGTTCATGGATGACATCAAACCTACTCAAACTAAACCAAGAAAAGACCGAGCTATAATCTTCTCCACAAAGCAACACCAGAAGTATCTGCCAACATTACAACTAAAAGTTGGTGATAATATCATCGAAAGCGTGCCATGTGTAAAAATTCTAGGTGCATTTTTCGATCAACACCTTACTATGGAAAAACAGGTATCCTCGGTCGTCAAGTCATGCTATTTTCAAATAAGCAATATTGGACGAATACGGCGCTTTCTTACAAAAGAAGCCTGCAAGACCATGGTGAATGCAGTTATCACTGCCAGGCTGGACTATGGGAACTGCCTTCTATATGGAGTGTCAAAGGCCTTACTAGACCGGATTCAAAAAGTCCAGAACACGGCAGCTCGTTTAGTTACAAGATCATCGAAACGGTAGCATATTACACCTATCCTAGCTGATCTTCATTGGCTACCTGTTTCTTTTCGTCCACAATATAAAATCTTGACATATATCTACCAATCCTTACACGGGTTAGCTCCATCGTATATCAAAGATCTTATAATGGAATACAAGCCTACCAGATCACTGCGATCTGAGTCAACATCACGGTTAGTTGTTCCTAAGATCAGGACGAAGACATATGGTGAACGTCGACTTGGTTGGGCAGCAGCATTTTTGTGGAACGACCTTCCTAATGATATAAAGCAGGCCCAGTCCCTGGATATTTTCAAAAGACAATTAAAGACGCATTTTTATAGGATAGCTTTTTAAATTATAGGTGCTCAATTTTTAGCAGCAAATCATAAATCACAAATGATGTTCTTTTATTGAGTTTTATTGATGGTGTAATTGTATTTTGTATGTAATTTGTAGTATTTTAATGTTATAATTCCGAACACATATATGAGTATGGGTTAATATTTTATATAAGTTTTCATAGCTTTTAAATTATGTTTACTTGCGTTTTATTGTACAGCGCTTTAGAGTTAAATTATTAATATTTAGCGCTTTATAAATTCATATATTATTATTATTATACATGTAAGTTGGTTATATTATGTTATGTTAATGTATAACCGATCATTAAATGATTTTTTTTTAATTTCTAAACATGCTGAATATATTTAAGGAATGTTTTTAAGTTTTGTGTGAGTTATTGGTGTGTGAATCACACAGACTTGTCACATAGGCTAACGCGCTTCATGAAAAATATGCCTACGTGCAAGTCTCTGTGATTCACACACCAATAATTCACACTAAAGTGAAAAACATTCCTTGTATTTACATTTTACAAGTTTGGAAGCAACTAAAATATACTCAATATTTGAATTTCTCGCTGTCCTATATCGCTGCATTTTTACTAACGTCGCTGTAGCCTCATTGTGACGTCACTTTAACGCACGTTTCTCTGTGTATATTTCTACGCGTGAGTATACACAAAACTGACTTTCAAATCAATTTCACAGTTGGCTTAGTAGAAAAACACAGCGAATGTAAATATTTAAAGATAAATAAGTACTAGTAACATCTCGTGGTAGATGTTTACAATCTAATAAGAAACTTAACATTTTAACTTGAAAATCAAATATAGCTTAAATTTCTTTCTAGAAATAGACAATAAACATAGGAGTCAAGCGCTGCTCTATTAACATATTACCAAAGAAATATTCATATGCATGGATCCGGAGATCTTACATATTAAACCCTGATATATCAACAATCAAAATTTTTTAATGGATATTAAAATATATGTTTTCAAAAATACACGTATTTTTAGTGTTTGATATTCTTGGTGTATATTTCGACAAAAGCCTTTTGAGCTTATTTTTGTACGTAAAAAGTTATCTTCGCGCTATCATGTTATGACGTGAAAATTTCACGTTAATTTGTGAGAAATACGTTTTTACCAACGACAATGAGCTCTATGGTCTTTCGTAACTTTCCAGTCTTTGTACGTCTTGAACAAATTAAAAATACAAGTAAAAACCAACGCTGCAAAAGTATAAGCAACTCTCTCTCTCTCTCTCAGATTTTCACCTCAGTAAATTTCTTAAGGGCTTTCCATAAAAATTTGTCTTTAATTTCACATCTACCGCAGAAGTTCAGATTACAAGTGTCAATGACCCTAGACCTTATAGATATGATGGCTCCCAACGAGCAAACGTTACCCTTAAGTTTACTTGTCTAATTTGCACCTTCATTTGTACTTTATCTAATTCAAACGCTGATGGACGAGATTATCTATTCAGGAAGTCACGTTTCGTTGTTTTAAGTTTTACCCCATTATAATAAATTTTAGTTGTAACACGTCTTTTGGTTTGATGAAAGATTTTGTTTATATCGTATGACATAAGTTGCCTACGTCACAATGGGTTATGTCAGAAATGTATTACTCTGCTTGACCTTATTTTTTGAAAAATGTTCATTTTGAAGTTATTTTTGGAGGCGAAAATTGTCTTATTGTATATACTGGAATTAAATTATAAAGAATGAAGCTTATTTTAACATAATTTTGCGGTTTACAAAGCGTAAACAGTCCCAAGTTATGTTATATAGTATAACATAGTTTAAAATAAGTTTCATTCCTTAAATAAAACAGATATCTTATCTGCTCATACTCGAAACAGTTCTTATGCTCAAAATACTTTTAAACAGAAAATTCAATGGAGTTCAATTACCTTTTTTGTTGGTATTCAAAATAATTTATATACTTTGAATGTGTTTTGTAAGAAAATTTAATTTTCTTTTTTCCGAAACAAGGAAAATCTATTTAATCATGTCAACTCAATGCTTTATTAATACATATTTTATTTAGTTCTCCTCGTGCTTTTAGCACATACATGTAAGGCCTGCACCGATGAACTCCATTCTTGTAGGTACAATTATCCTCGGCTTTGGTTTCTGTAACTGTTGATTTTTAGCTCACCTAAGCTGAAGCTAAAAAAATATGCTAAGGAATATAAAGCTTTGTCGAAATAGTGCGTGTATTTTAATTAAAATCCAAACTGAATCCTCATTACCTGAATAAGGATTTCAGAGCATCTGTTATTTTAGTTACTGAACTGAATTTATTGATCTCTTCACAATTTTACAATTGTATAGCGAGATATAAATGTAATCTAATGATGACAAATAAAAACACATATATGGCATGCGCGAGTATGAGGACAGACAAATAGTACAATTATAGGTTTAGGTCTTTACTATTTTGGGGAGCACGTTTTAGTAATTTTTTTAATAAATATACACAGTTTTCTTAAAAATGACTGTTTATCTGAATTCATTATTTCTCTAAATGTAATTGTATTTTTGAATCGTAATTGCTTTTGTGTTAAACATTTATTTCTTTCACGTGTCATTGACGTACAATTTAATATGTAATGGAATTCATCTCCTATTTCATTTAATTGACATCTCTTACATAGTCTAATCTCTCTTGGTTCATTTAACCAACGTCCAGTTTCAATTGGCAAATAATGATTACAAGTACGGAATTTGCAGAAATTTATGGCTTCTTTTCGTGATAGAATTTCTAAATATTTTTCAAATTTTAGTTCGTCTTTGTATATTCTATAATTTAGGGTCTTTGATAAATTTTGAACATCCGAATTCCATTTTTGTTTAAATTGATCTATTAAAGTTAGTTTTACTTTCGCTCTTAACCAATTTGGATTGAAGGCTTAACTGTTCAAATATTTGAAAGTCCACAATCATTTAAGATATTCAAGACATTATTTATCCAAGCAATCTTCTTAGTCTTTTGATTTACAATATCACTTAATTGAAACAGCAGACTTGATATTTTTGTTTCTTTTCCAAATTTAAGTTTTCACCAATATGAAATAATACGCGTTTGTATTTCAATGGACATGGGATGTCGACCGAGTTCACCATACACCATGCAGTCCGGAGTAGATTGTTTAAGGTTAAGAAGTAATTTACAGAATTTTAGATGTATTCTGTCTACAATTGCATCATTCGAAAATCCCCATACTTCACATCCGTACAACAATATAGGCTGAACAATTTTATCGAACAGGTCTAACTGACATCGTATTGATAGATTATGTAAGCGGCCTTTCTTAAGAATTTCAAATATTGCTTTATTTGCTTTGTCAACTTGTTTCTGCTTTGCTTCCTTGAAAGAACCTGACGTTATTAAAAGATGTAAATATTTCATTATATTATGGACGTTAATCACAACATTACAATGGATTAATAAATAAGATGAATCTATTACAGTTCTCCCTCTTTTTTTCAAATTTTTCAAGCCCATCAATATGTATACGTGTATTCTAAATCGTTGGGAAAAAAGATTCTATTTCAGTCACAGTGTCAAGTGCGTTTGTTAGATACATCTTGCTTAACACGTTTAAGTATGGGCGTTTAAAGCTGTGTATCTTGAAGCTGTTTTTAGTCTTAGGCTTGAAGTTATATTTACACAGTAAGTTAACTATAAATAGCTGAGCTTATTATATACATCAAAGGTTATGAAATATAAATTACGTATGAATATCAATAAAATGCAAGACGTTTAGCAAGATCATTTATCGGCTATTAATTAAACAGATATAACCTTTCTTATTCAAAGACGAGTTACAACTTTGACATTTTTTTTTATTTTGGAAACCTTTTTTGTTATAAATAATAAAAGAATCAAATTATGAACTTTGCAGTAAAAATTGCTTAATATTTTGCAGCTTCGTTCAAGGTTTGAATACTTATTTACTTACTGGGAAGTTATATCTGATTTAAAATGCAACAAAATATACGTAACTTAAAGACATAAACTCGAAAAGCCATCCAAAAATTGTGCAATACACCTTTCTACTACTGATTATACAAAAATATATACAAGGAATATTGTTAAACTGATTGCATAAAGTTCATAATATAAAAAATACAAGAACAACATTCATAGTAATATAAAAATGTAAAAACTAAACAAAATTATATCTAAACCTGAAGTACATGTACTGATTAAAGAACAAATGTTTCAGCTAAGTACATGTTTTGTATTAGTCAGTGTTTTTGAGAATCTGATTGGCTCATGACTTAGGGTAAGTACAAATATATTCAGATTCTGTTGTCTCGTAGTAATCTTATTCCATTCTAACCCGTGAGCTCCGAGGGAAAAAAAGAATGGAAGAAAAGTTAAGGAACATAACAGAGAATTCCCGTTGTCTAATTACATCAGGATTGATGATAAAGAAGACAAATATGACGATGGTCTTGTATTTTGGATTATTTTAAATTGTTTGAGACATCTGTTTCAGATTTTGTTCAGCATACGATGAGATTAATTTTAAAGGGTTATTGATAAATTACTCAAATTTGACCCCTGGAAGAAAAAAACGTTTGTTTGTGAGTGTGTTTCACATTTCATCTCATTTAAAATTCTTTTGCAATTCTTTCTATTTATGAACACGCAGTGGGACTTTTTGTTTCAACATATTAAATTGGATCTTTTTTACAGTTCGAGAATTTCAATCAAAGAGAGATAAATCGCACTTTTTGCAATGTTTTGGGAAAACTTTAGAAACCTTTTTTAAAAGTGGTCTATTTAACACAATTCCATTTTTCTTTCCTATATAATTATTTTTCACAAAAAAATAATGTAATAGGTACCGAATTTCGTAAAATGCCAAGTTATACTTAGGTCTCACGGCTATCTAATGCCTATTGCTACTAAATTAATTATCATAAATCCTTTATCTGAAAAATTGTCGCTTTAGTGTTAAAACATCCGACAATGACCGACATCTAAGAGATTTACTACTAATCAGAATCAAATCTTTTCCATTAAATTTTAGGTGAGTTTTAATGTCTGTCAAAGATTGTGAAATTATTTTTTTTCCTGATTCAAAACTGATCCGAAGCAAATGAAATGCTATTTCTGGTGTTTTTTTTTTTTTTGCCTTAAAGGTGCATAGACACAGACTTGAAGTTAATATTTTCTCAAATTTTCTGTATATTATTACGTCATATATATTGCAATAGCATTTCACGCGAAAATATAATAAATATCTTTTTTCATCGCGAAGTTATCTGAACTACGACTTTCTAGACGTTTTTGATTAACACATCCTCGCATTTTCACAAATTATAATTTTATTCTTAATACTTAAGAAAAATTTTAGAACAGTTACTATAATACAGAAAATTCAGAGAAGAAATGTTCGATAGCAAAATCCCCTCACTAGTATCGTCAGTCCGTGCGCAGTTTTCTGTACAGAATTTAACAAATTGAATACACCCGTGAACATAAACTGTTCTTGTAAACAGGCACGAGCTCTGTCATTGTTTATGTTTACGGTTCAACGGGTGTTCAATTATCAAAGTCTGCACACACCATTGACGCGTTTTCCTTTCGAACATTTTCACTCTGAACTTTCTAGATTAAAGAAGGTGGATTCGTAGAACATTTACTTAAACCCGGTTTGTAACTTTGTCGGTAAAGAGTTTTGTTTCGGAATCCAGTATATATACATGTAGGTACGGTAAGTTTGGTTGTTGAGATTATCAAAAATATTCAAAACCGGCATAGGATCTTGAAGAAAAAAAATTGGTGCATTTGTAAGTTTTATGAAGAAAAGCCTAAAATAGTGTCTGCCAACGTCACCCACTTCAGTTTTTGAATATTTTAAATATATTGTGTAAAATGCTTTGAAAATTCACATTTATCAAAATCTTCGTGGGCGATGCATGCACTGTATGTTTTCTGAAAGAAAATTCCACTTAAAATTGATGTCTTCTGCAACTTTTAAAAATATATACAAGTTCATAACGTCACACGCAGCATTTATGAGGTCATATTGGAAAAACGATTTATATTTTAATGCATGACATTTCAATAAGTTAGAAAGGATGAATTGATGCCATTGGTTTAAGTTAAAATTTTGAGATTTCAAATTTCGGAAATTCTTTGGCATTTAGAAAATCCACATCTAATTAACATTACTTCTTTAAAATGTTACTGTACAATAATTCTTATGCAAAACATTGTTATATTTTGTCCAGTTTTCATTCTGGGTGATATTGCCTAAAGGATAAAACTCCATAATGACTTACAAACTATGTTAAATTTAAATAAAAAAAAATGACCTGTAACATAATGTTTCACAAATTAGACTCTACTGGTCTACGTGAGTAAGTTGAGTTTGAAATGCAAAACTCAGGTACAGTTTTCTCTTGTTTTTGTCTGTTTCATTATACTTGAGGATAAAAAGAAAATGAATCGAAAGTGATTAAGACACTGGATACCAGGTAGTCATAAGTTGAAATGAATTCTTAGATTAAAAAAAACACACTCAAATACATCCTCTTACACATAAATGTTTAACCATAGATATACATGTAAAACAGAAAAAAAGTAATAGAACTTATGTTTTGTTGAGATTTTTAGAAATATTAATGTTCTTATTGCTAATCTTCAAGTTATTTATAGCAGGTTTTGCAATTGCTTGTCTCTTAACAGCTTTCCCGACTTTTGACTTGGCTTGTTCAATTTCGTTGCATTCATCTGCTTTTTGATTGTTTAACTGTGTTGAAAGATTTGTTGGTTTTCCGATTTTTTTCTGATCTTCCTTTGCATTCGTTTTGTTCTGAAACTTGTTACGCAGATTTCCTGGGGTATTTTTCCTTATAGAAACATTTTTCCCTATAGTGTCTTTGTTTTGATTGACACTTTTCCTATCGGGCATTGTGTTCGGGTTTACCATCAATGCAGTGTTCGTAATGTTTCCAGCCTGTTTTTTACTGTCTGGTTTACCTTTTTTCTCATTTCCCTCGTTTTTCCCGTCTTGGTTTTTATTGAAATCTTCTGTCTTGTCTTTTGTTGTGCCGTCTGTATATTTGTCTTTTAATCTTCTTTCTTTCCCAATTCGTCGAATAAATCTTTTTAATCGTAAGGCTAATTTTGCAAGGTTTGAGAAATCCGCAAGAATTATCAGCCCCATCAAGACTGTGATCAATATAGGCCCGAAAAGGATTCCAACACTTTTAGCTGAGGGCCTAGGATCTTCTGCACAGACAAGTCTCCTAATATATTGTGACGTGGTTGTGACGTCAACAGTTAATTGCCTCTTTATTTCTGTTATTTTTTCCTGAATCTCTTCTTCTGTTATATTAGAAAAGGAGCATGGACATTCACAGGTTTCTTCCGTTGGAAGAGGGGGACATGCGTCACTTCTTTCTATATCTATAACAGCCATTTCAAGTAAAAAAAAAATATAAACATCAAATATATAATGCCAAGAATCCGGTCTAGATTTAGGGTAAACTTAATAAAAGTGACATATAAACGCTAATCTTAAGCAATCCTAAGATAGTGGTGCAAAGCAATTAATATCAACAAATCTACAGAGGTCGAACCTACGTGTTTTACAGGTTTTAAATTTCAAAGGTAATTTAATTTCATATTTTATAAATATTTTTCATCAAATATTATTTCCTGAATAGATTGTTCTTCTGGAGAGAGCAGATTATACTATACTGCATGTTGTATCTCCCAGGAAATTCAAAGCATGAACTTCATTCATCCCCTTTAATTTAAAAAAAAATGCCAAAACATAGAAATGGTCTATCAAAGAAATTTTCCATAGTAAAATAGCATCTAAACAAAGTCGATAACCTATGATGATAACACAACGGATCAAAGTATTTATTTCTTATTTCAAAATCTTTATATTTTAGCAATCCACTTTCATTCATGTTTCTGTATTTATTTCTGGCTGTTCTATAGGAAATATGGAAAAAAAACGAATACTAATTACGTAAAAAGAACACCTTCTAGTAGACAATACAAATCTGGAGTAGAACATGCGCAGATCTCCAAAAATATCAGAGGAAGATGCCATAGAGGAAAATGCATCCCCTATCGAGTGATCTCAAAAGGCACGTACTCATTGTTATGATCGGGTACTAGTATATGAAAGCATTCGGAGAAATGTTGATGTCTAAATAATGGCTTAACAATAAGTATGAAAAACGCCAATCAGTATTTGAGGTCAAGGGTCAATTGCACTTATCGGGTACATGCCAAGATTAGACAAGCAAAGATATCTTGATGTTTCATTTTTTCATTATTCTTAAATAAGATAGAGGATATTCAATGTTTTGTAGTTGAATATGGAATTTATTTCACGAGTGGGACAGGATTTTTGATATTTTCACGAGTGCGAAGCACTCGTGAAAATATCAAAAAAATTCTGTCTCACGAGTGATATAAATTCCATATTCAACTACAAAACATTGAATTTTCTGTTTATTACATTTTTAAAAAAAGAAATCTTTGATTTTTCCTTTGCCTCTGTCTTTTTGTAATACAGTCAGTCTCGTGACGTCATAGTTGAGCAGTTGAGACGTCATAACTTAGTGAGGTGAAAACACTGTAAACATGGATTTAGCAACATATTTTTGGTAATTTTGACAGTTTTATTCGCTGTCAGAATGGTTTATTTATTTCCATCTATCTTATATTAGGTTAAAGAAGATTTTTTTTACAGCAATCTTCGTTATGGGAAGGGAAATCGAGAGTTTTACCGCACTTCTGATATTCGTCACACTGTGACAGGATATCATTTTGATATCCTTTCACACTGTGACAGGATATCATATTTATTCAATGAATAAATTACAGTATTTCACGGGTAAAAATGTAATAAAACGTTCTATAATACACCAATTATAATATTCTTCTCATCTGTTATGAAATTCTGCAAAGCTCTAGAAAAATAATCAAATCTGAAGTAAGCCATGCACAGAAAGATTTCAAAATTATAAATAAATACCTGCTAGGACCTTCCAACAAACTTGAGCTGTACCATATGCAGAGAGAACTATATGATTAACGTCAAAAACGAAGCCGGTGTCTTTTGTATGGCTAGTGTTGGTACCATTTTCAAATACAGTTAGCGTTCCATTATTCCATGCTGTATAATTCAAATTGTTAAATGTATGTTTAATTCACATATGACATAATCAAACTTCTTGTTTCATTGTTTTTCCATCTTCTGATTCTATCACTTTTTTCTATCGTTATATAAGTCACAGATCCCGACACAATTATAACAAAATAAGGACAAAAATAAATATTTCAAAAGGCATACGAAAGGGTTATGACTACAAGGTATATTAATAACCCTGCAGTTGTTTACTTTTAAGTACTAATATAGTCCTCTACTTATCTTTTATCGGAACTATGGTCAAAATTGAGTTGTTAAAACATTCCTATAACCATTAAGTTTACTTTATTGGTAATTGTAGATAAAAGAGTTTATACTGCCCTCGGGCAAATATTTAATGTTGTCTTGGATTATTTTTTATCTTTAAACATTCCAAAAGAATCTTTTTTTTTTTTTTTTTTTTTTTTTTGGCTAAATGATATAAATTCTAGAAACTAGATATTTTAAATTTGCCTACTTGGCATAAGGTAATGCTTACTCACAAATTCTAAAATACCTCCAGCTGTAACAATCCAGAAAACTACCAGTCTGCTGATATAACCCGTCTCCATACCGCTCCTTTCGAATGGCAAAATATTGGTTTTTACTTGCTCCAATGACTATCTCGATAAAGTTATGTGAATAATTTCCACGATCGTTCATCAGTCGAATATGCGCATCTTTACAACCAAGCGCTATGAATTCAAATTCTGCCATTCCACTAACATTCAATCCCAAGTCTGTCAGATCGACTTCGGTGGTTCCTATTGTTGTGATGGACGCTCCTCTTTCTAGCACAATTATTTACAGACATTAGACTTTGTCTTACCGTTTTGAAACAAGACTAAAAGAGTTGCGATGAATATGGTTTAAAAATCTATCTATTTTGGCACATATTTTTAAATTAACAAACAAGTACATGTAAATAAAAAAAGAAAGAGTGTGTGTGTGTGTTTCTTTATTCTCAATAGCATTTATATGACTTTTTATTATCTTTTTCAACACATGAGTGCCGAGTATAGGTCAAATTTTCTAGCTCTCCACAGCCAAATGGTGGCATCTCCATATGAGTGAAAAATTCTGGAGAGGGACGTTTAACAACATACAATCAATCAATCAATCTTACTTCCTGTTCTGTAGACCGTCATTGCGGTTGACCCTCCGCAGGAATTGGGCACACTGCCACATTGTAAGGTACATCCACTGGAAGAAGTACCATCATTTGTCTGTGAGCAAAAGCAATTCATTGCATTCTGGAAAGAAACAAAAAAACTTCTGTAAGTGAAGCTAGCAAAGCTAATTGATGCCTGTGTATTGATTTTTGAGAAAAAAAAATTTAAAAGCGCTCAAGAAGCTATATCAAAACCACAAAGTAAATATAAAAGTCAATCGCATAAAGAGCTTCTTGTATCTTAAGAATAAAAAATATTAAGAATAAATATACCACATACATATATAACTAATTGTTAAATTGAAAATTATGTACAAAGTTTATAGTAGATATAAATTGGATAGTACAGACACCAGATGTTCATTTCATTCATGAAGACACATGTACAATTACCGAAACCAAAGACGAGTAATGATTATAATGTTTTAGAAATACTTGAACTTAAAGTGTTTTTAAATTCGTATCATTGGTAATGAATGTCCAACAAGTGTGCAGGCGAGAAGTGAATCCAATCGATCTGTTCATCCTTGAAAAAAGAATAACTGTGAAATGGCAAATCTTAAGTTGAGTTTACCCCTTTTGTAATTAGCTTGTAAAAAAAATTTTCATCTATCTATATATGTATCTTCTTATAGATGAAGCTTCCAAATGGCCATGCTATATATAAAATGTTATATCAATACAATTTTCTTTCAAGTTGCAAAGAACATAATTGTAACAACTAGATCCATCTTTAAGATACCTAAAAAAAAATCTTACATTAGTTTTTTCTTACCTGTATAGCAGCATATACATATCCGTTTGCTGCGCAATGCTCCAGACAGGTTTCAACTTTATTTGTTCCAGCCAAGCTGATAGTGTCGTTTCCAACGCTCATGTTGTCAAAACAACCAACAATCTGGTCTAGAAAAATTATTAAATACACGAGAATTGAAAACGACATTTTCATTTTATCAAAGACCTAGACTTATCATACTTTACTTTTCTTAAATCGAAAAAACAATTTTAAAGGAAATAAGGTGGCAACGAACAATACCACAATATAAATTGAGTGCAGAGAAAACACAGACTCCTAAAACATCAGGTGATCAGGTGCTATTAAGGAGTAAGCTTTCCCATTAACCGGTCACTTTCGTCGTGAGACCTTTGCATCGATTGGGAAAGTGGGGTTAAAGAAAATAGCAAATAGAAAAAATTAGATATGTCAGTCAACATTTATTCCAACGATATGTTACATCAACGGACCTTATGGGGTAATTTTTTTTCTTATATGTTTATTCTTGTTAATTTTAAACCAATGACAACTCGTCATGTCACGTGATAAAGACTACCCATACGTATACGTACAATCACAGTCTGTCACGTTAGTTGCTCCATCAGAGATGGTTGTCTTTGCTCCTTTACATGGTTCACATCTGAATGATGGAGGGGTTTCTCCAAAAGTTCCCCTTGGACACGTCCTGCATTCTCCTGAGTATGTAAGGTACTCCCCGGGTGTGCAGGCAAAAACAGCAGCTTATAAGCAGCAATTTTAAAAAAAGAGAAAATTGATCTGCTATTTTTCAAGGTCATTTAAGGATTATTCTTTTGAAATAACTTTAACTTTAATAACATTAACTTGTGAATTCGTTTCGCTGCATTTATTATTTGAAACCAAAAAAAAAAAACAGTAAAAAAGTGAGCAAAGGACAAGATATGGTAGAGGCCGATTCTGACCCTTATTTGATGTAAAAAAGAAGAAGAAGAAGAACACTGTTAAGAACTTATAATGATGCTTGTTTTAAAACCAGCACTAATTTTTATCCAAAGCTTACGTAGATGGAGGCCACCAGAGGATGCAGAAGTAGGATATTTTCCCGAATTTCCTCAATTCTGGTGGAATTTTTTTCATATTTGAGATACTTTTCCCTTCGGAAAACATAGAGCACAAGCTTGCCTATCTGGGATTTTAATGTACTAGTATTAAAATGCATCTGATGCTAGTGTATGAAATATAAAAAGAAGATGGGCGCATTTGGCGTGTGATCTGCAGGAACCATTTGTACGAAACATTTATGGTTTAAATGTCCATGGTTTGGTTGGCTGAACATAGCTGGTCAGATTTTACAAACACGTCCATAGGTTTTTTTCATTTAGTTTGAAAGTTTGGGATTGTAACATTTTTGTCCGTTTTTCCTAGAGGGTACTATAACATAGTAATGTTTCACAAAAAATAAACACCTAAAATATTTAATGCATATAGTTGCATGATACGTGTACATGTACATTATATAGAATAGAAGATTAGAATTGAATTCGCTCGAGAACCAAACTGAACCAAAATTTATCTAATTCAAAATTTTAATACATCAGTACATAAAACGGAACTGACGAAATAAATAGTTGTTTGCATGAAAAAAAAATAAACGCCCCATGCCAGGCTCGAACCAAAAACTAATCGATTCCAGTGCACTGAACAGGTAGCCCAACTTACTGAGCTATCACCACTACACATATACAGGTGATTTTAAAAGGACAAAGAAGCACCACATTCACACATTTGGAGTCTTCTCTCCATTTTAAAAAAAATTGTATTCGTTTTTTTTTTATTAAAATACACACAAATAACGTTTCAAAATCATGGAGAGAAGACCCAGAGATAGAAAAATTTTAGAAAAACGTGTTTAAAAATGTATCATTTTGTACCAAGTGTCTGATCTGGCCAATTTTCAAGTTATTTTTTAGCAAATCAAAGCTCAATTTCGGGAAAATATTTTCCTTTCCTGTTGCACAGGAACCCGATAAATAAAAAAATGTTAAAATTTCATGTGACATGTCGATAAAATTTTCACTTTTCAATTACGCCCAGCTGCCGAATGTCAATCAAAAGCGCCCTCATTCTTTGGTAGATAGGCCAGCTTGTGCTCTATGTTTTCTGAAACAAAATGTTCGGTAAATTCGATGAAAATTTGCATACAAATCTGAAAATTAGGAAATTGACATAATTTCTAACCTCTCTGTGACCTCTGTGTATCCAATAACTTAGAACCAAGTCAGGGGGACCAAAAAGTTTTTTTTTTATTTATTTACTGTTGCGTCATTCTAAAAGACATCCAAAATCAGAGTCCAAAAAAGAGGTCTTAGTTTATCTTGTCCTTGAGAAACAAGACATTGAAATTCAAATTCATACTTCCCTGGATTGTTTATAGATATTGAATGGGAAAATTCTTTCTTTGAAAACATGATCTGAAATCTAACTTTTCTAATTTTTTAGAAGACTTTTTATCAAACTACAAAGATTCAAAATTCGAATATGTAATAAGGGGGATGGTGGGTAAAATAATTTGTATATTTTGACGGAAAGAAACAGATGTTTTCTGTGAAATGGCAAATGCTTCAATATAACCAGCAAAATACTTTCTTAAATGGCCTTGTTTTTCTCTTTGTTCTCTACATTGCATAGTTTGGAAATCCTTCAAGGTCAAATAATATCAATACGACATATTTTAAATTCAATGATATTTTCAAAGAACATATTTTTTTCTACAATAATTAAAAGCTACAAGACATACACTGTGTAAGAATTCAGGTAAGGATATACTGTTTTTGATCATTACACTTGCTAGCAAAATTAATATAATTTCTAAAAAGAAATTTTAGGAATTTGATGTTTTTGGTTTGTTTTTTTTTCCTGAAATGAAATGAACCGTCCAAAGTCTTTATACTTTTTTCTAATACTTTTCTAATAGCTTTACCTCTCGCTGTTTGGGTGTACTTGACGATGACTTTTCTTTTTTTTAACTTGATTATATACTTGACATATTGTTGCAAAGTAATACTTACAGTTTATGACTGAAAGACCTCCAAAACCTATAAGAAGACAAATGAGATTAATCTCAACTAAATCCCTTGTCATTTTTTGTTGCGACATTGCAAAAACGTTCTTTTTTTTCTTATAAGAATTTCACTAACTGGCAAAATCAGACCTTATCTAATCTCAAAACATTTATATTAAGAAATCCTTTCTACACTATTTCGTTTTTTTAATTAGAAATAAATAATTAATATCATGCATAAATTTGCAACATAGGTTGATATATATCAACAAAAAAAAACAAAAAAAACTAGATAAATTCGAATTAGTCAAAAACATTATCAAGTAATTGATTTTCTTACTCTCATCATCAAGTAATCGAAATTGTTTTGTTTGTTTTGAATTTTTTGTCTGCAAGAAGGTTCTGATTAATGTTTTAAAGAACTTGTCAAACCCTTTTTATATAATTGTTAAGCTTTAACGGGTAGGTATATTCAAGAAAGTATATAAAAATAGTCATAATTAGCACCTAGTTGTTACATTTCTTCTCGTACAGGGGAATCAATGTTTAGGAGGAAAAATTTTATATAGACGCAGTGAATTTAAATCCTTCGTTCTATACAATAAATGTGAACTACAAAACTCAACGCAGAATTTGGCCATTGTTAGTTTGATATTTTATGTTCCCTCTGAAAATCATTCACTCCTTTATGATGTAAAATACAATAGAAGGGCTTTAATCTAGACCTTTTGCACTCAAGGCTACTGAAGATGATTTTTTGAAGTGAATGTTTGCTCTTAATAAGAACTATACATCTGTTTAGCCACTTCAAACTCGCTGAACATTTCTTTTACTTGAATTAAATTCTTAAAATTGTCAAGAAATGATGAAAATCAAATGCGGATTTTCAAATTTCCAAAGAATTTTAACAAAAATGAAATTTTCACATATTTCAATCAATAGCATGAAAAAAATACTTTTTAACGCTTTTTACACCAATTTCTCACAATAAAAAAACAACAGGTTTTTGACATCATGCTAAAGTGCTTCTTCATTTAAAAAAAAATTGAAAAATATTCAGAGCTTGACAATGACTATTTAAATATTTTATTTCTCAACAATGTATTTTATATTCAAGTTCTCTAAAACTAATATTTAAAGGTAAGAGTTCCTTCTAAACAATATCACTAAAGCTTTTGGAGACTAGAAGTGGGTCTTCCGATATTCTATTGGAACTTCTATGAATTACTTAATTATTAAACTACATAATTGGAAATCCTTTTGATCTTTTCAAAAATAAAAAAAATGGAGACAGCCGTCGGTTATCAACCTAAAAAGTTAATTAAACAATGCAATTCGAAAAAAATCAAATGCATAAGAAGTGGGATCAGATGTCATAAATGAGTAAGCATTCTCTAACGGCAGGCCCCATCCACCGTATGTTCCTTGTCATGAGCGAACACATTAAATCCCAGTTCCTTTAAAATACAGTTTAAAACAAAGACAATGTTTGTGACCTGCTTTGTCAGCTTGGGCCAGAATACTAGTATACTGATCAGTCATGCATCTGAATTTTTAAGTCTCTAATTTTACTCATATTTATGTCACCACTAATGACATGACCTGCAGGAATGTAGTTGAAGGATGAAGAAGAACATGAAAAAGTTGAAGGATTACGTTTCAGATGTTCGATATATATGCACTGTGGAATTTTTAGTGTTAAAACATTTGGAAGCAATAGAAGATGTATATTTTGCAATAAAATACTGAAAAGATGGGTTTCAACTTGAGATATGGTCCAATACAAGACAAGACCTTTTTCTGATTGAGGATATTATTAATTTTACCCTCAAGTTTTGTTTTCTTTTACTCGTTAGCAACAAGACAGACAATGCAGGGAGTGCAATGAGGATCAAGAAGTTTTATATAAAATTGTAAAATCCTGGCAAGTAAAAGTACATGGTGTGTGTATACAGTATCAAAGATGGGACCAGATTGGTCATACTGCAAGTTGTCCAACGGTCCTAAAATTTAATTCCTTTATCAAAAATCATTTTAATTGCTAAAATGATCTACAGATGTTTATTTTAAGCTGAAATCCGAAGGAAGCTCTAATTTCTCGTGTAATTTATATCTCTTCTCTTGCAGTTTTAATTCAAAATGTAATTTTATGTAAAACATGTATAGTTAGCAATTCTTTCATGTCTATAAATTATGCAATGAAATGCAGTTTAACAGTTGATCTGTTTATCTTTCTTAACCAAAATCATTTTTTGCAGAACTCTGTATTGCCATTTGCAAAAGCAAGTCCGTTTAAATGTCTGAAATCTTTCTAATTTACTCAAAAGTTTCATTTAGCCCAAAAATTCACCTTTGTTTTTTCCAAAGGTACTCGGGTGACCGTCAAGGCTTGTTGTAATATTTTCCCAAAATTCAAAAGGTTTTTGTTATTCTATGCCTATTCTTAACGCTTTGCATTTTTAAAAAGAAATTTTAAATGTATTGTAATCACTATAATATCGGAATTAATTGTAATCGACGATTTCTTAAGAAAATTAGCATAATAAGATTACTTTTTCTCAAATCTTCCAAAAACGGATTAATTCATACTGAAATTAAAATTTTGAATGAAACATGTGGAGATAACGAATAGTATTCAAGATCAAAAGTCCATAAAACATCGGAGATGGGATCAGGTGCCATGGAGGAGTGAGCATCCCCTGCCGACCGGTCACACCCGCCGTGTGCTCCTTGTCATAATCGAAAATGACCGGAAAAATCTGTCGTCAATTCAGTGTATAAATAATGGACTAACAATTAGTATGAAAAATCGTCGGTCAGCATTTGGCTCAATAATAAATTGTATTTGCTGACAATGTCATTGGATCGACCATAGAACTTACCAAATGATGATTTTAAACGAGACTACTGATATTCTTGTTTCATCACCTTGTTTGTCAATAATTTATCTCGTTTTAGAAATTGTTCATACGTAGAGCATGCTCTTGCGTATCGAATCAACTGAGATATATAAACGCCTTATGCAGGTGATGAATGTATATTGCTGCATAAGTAAGGGAAGTTGACGATAGAAAAGTTAAAATCATCACATTTATCATAGAGCTTGGTTGTTAGAATACCATTAACGTCTTTTTCAAGCAGAATATTCAAATATGAAACAGATTTGTTAGACTCTTTGATATTTTTTTTTATCTCAAGTTCACCAGGATATATCGTATCGACATAAGAATGGAAATTACCAGTCTTGATTGAAAAAACCTCGTCGAAAAGCCACAGTAAGTGTTTTCTTCTTTTCACGCATAAGATTTTGGACAAATTCTGCTTCAAATGAATACAAAACTAAGTCTGCTAATAACGGGGCGCAATTGGTACCCATGGGAATTCTAATAAATTGTTGGAATATCTGGTCTCCGAAAACAACATAGATATATCTGTCAATCAGAAACTCAAGCACCTTTTTGATGTCAACTTCAGAGTACTTATGTGTGCAATCAGAATGTTTTAACAAAATAATTTTGCAAATGAACAACGACAAAGTAAGAAAATTTACGAGTTCCATATATTATTTTCTCTTTTTTGGTCTTCGTGTATTTTATTCCTATGTTAAAGACAGCTAACTATAACATCCACATTGAACTTATGATAGGGGGAAATTATTGAGAATAAAAAAGATCAAAACGATATTACAAGCTGAGTATGACTATGTTTCATTCTACCCTATGTACTTAAGTTATATTTAGCTAATAATTCTCATACAAATCCTTTGAAATGGATCCCTTCTTGTGATGCATTGTTAATGAACACTCCTTTACTGTTAGCAGTGGTAATTTAACATATTAGAAGGATATGTCATTTTCTTAATGTCAATTACCAACAATAAATCAATACATTTTATTTAATGAATTGTTTTCCTCCTATGCAGTTGTAAGGCCTTTGAATGCCAATATAGTTCATCGTTTTTGTTTCTCTGTAGCGACTATCAAATCGGATGGCTGTTTTATCACTGGTAAATGTACTCTGGTTCAGAACTTTGATTCCCAGATTAAGTCAACATCCTTCTTTGACCTTGGATGAAGGATTTAGATCCAGTTATATAAATGATTGGGCTTTAGATTTTGGTTTTTACTTTGCACATCTAGGGAATCAGAAATTTAAAGAAATGACACACTTTCTAAGAGCAAGCTTCAACCAAAAATATAAATTTATCACTCCTTTAAATTGTTTCATCCGTAGACTTTCTTTATATCCGTTAATAGATGTTATTAATCATGTTTTAACTTTAAAACTTTTTTTCTGAATTCAAAATTACAAAAACAAAATGTATACTTGTATGGGACATAAAAAAATTGTCAAGAAAAATTTGAAGTGAATAACATATGAAACAGTTTAGGGAGTTCATGTAGGCTTCATTAAAACATTTTATTCTGTCTTTAAATAAACAAATATACATGTTATATGCAGACTTCAACAAATTATCTAATGGCCTTAACATACATGTACCAAAAAATACAAAAATATTTCCTCTATATCCTGATATTTGTACGGCACATATTAAAATTTTTAAATTAGTTATTTTTAATCAAAAATTTGTCATTTTGCACTTTTTAGTCTTGACAAAAATCTTTTCACAATACATAGAGGTATGCATTTACAAAATATAAATGTATTGTTTTACAGTTTGTTATATAACGTATATTTCAAGGAGAAATTTAAAGATTTGACAGGCAAAAAGTCAAATATTCTTTTTATAAAATAATTGTTTTAGTTCATTTGCACTGCGCATGGTGTTATATCATAAAATGAAAATTTTACTTACTTAAAATACACAATAGAATCATCTTTCTATGGCCCTGTAGATTAAAAACCACATATCCTTTTATAATATCCTGGCACTCATAGACTTTTCCACATTTAAATGGTAAACTATTATAACTGAACTTAACTATTCAACACCTGTCAAGTTAATATGAACTCTAATTAAGAGAAGTGTGTGTAAGCTAAACACATTGGTAATCAATTTGAAAGGTTCTCTTGTAAAAACCAATTTTTTTAACTCCCAGTCGTACAGTTAGTGTGAATACATGAAAACATTATGTTCTTGGACGGAAATATATGATTTGCGACTGCCTTCCTGCAAAGTAAACATAATGAATTGATTTTATTTTTTAATTGTTCAAACTTTACAGTACGCATTGAGAACTTCACCGACATGTTTTTCCTCTCTCTCTCCTGTTGCAATATTATTTGTTGTTTTCTGCTCAACAATGTTTAATTTGCCATAATCACTTCAGACCATGGACCAGAACAGAGTTTATGTCTCAACGGAGGGCCTTTTTAATGTTGACAGATTCATTTCAGGGTCTTTTTTTTTAAATATAAAATTTACTAATACTTATAGTTATTAATGTAAGGATTCCGTTGTACAACAATTTTTTTCGGCTTTTTTATTATACATTTTTCTAAGAAAAAAAATCAAATATGCGCTGAATTAAAAGATGCTCAAGTTTCAAATAAATTATTTTAATATTTAATACAAAAAAATAACATTTAAAAAAAAAACGTGTTACATTTAGAGGGAATAAAATGTAAATAAAAGGCCTGGTTCCCAAAAAAAACAGTCACAATTTTTTTTTTATTTCACGTGTAAGTTTTTATTACGATTTCCCCCTTTACACATTTCTAAATAAAGTTTATTTTTGCATTGGTGAAAAAAAGTTATTTTTGCTTTAGGAATGGTGCAATATTTTTCATGGACACAATTCCCATAGCTTATATTGAAATCAACTGAATTTCGTTTGCCAATAAAAGTATTCCAGGCTCTCTAAGTAACGGACAGGAGAGAACCCTAAAAATAGTTTTCAGCATTACAGTGATAAATAATGTACAATATATAGGAATGAAGAAAACTTCGATATTTCTACTAATATTGTGTTTAATTAATCACACCGCCTGGTGATATTTTAATAATAATTTGACTTTCGATTCATGCTTGGATAATTCTTGACAAAATGACTGTTTCCTTACGGAGATCTATGAATCGATTTTCAAAAGAAGGCCAACGTATTATTACAAAGGTAAATGCCATTCTTAACCTTGAAACATTTCATAAAACAATGTTTGTTGTTCTTTCTATCCCAAGATGTCGAAAAGTTGCAAAAGAATGTAAAAAATCATACATCATATTGATATGGTTATTGATATACTGTTCGAATAATTTTTTGGCGAATGGTTCTCAAGTATGGAATATAATTACAGACACAATAGAAAATTCAATAAATAAGGGAGAAAGGAAAAAATCCAATTTGTTATCAATAATTTCTTTAATTAATTTTTGACAAAAGTAATGAAGGATTTTATTATGCATGCAAGAGAATTTCGTAACTCTTAGAGACATTACTTCACTTTTCATTCTGTTTTACATTCAGAATTTTCAATTTCCCTATAGCCATTGTTTCACTGAATAACAAATATTTAGAAACTGGGCTTGGGTATGATAGGTGTACTTTTCATGCATGAGTAAATTTAATTACAAGTATATTTTCTTAATGAAAAATTTAATTAAAGTTGTTTGAAGTTTCAAATCTATTTTAAATGCATGGGGTTTTTTTCATTTTCAAATGAATTTTTTATTTCTTTTAATTTGAAAGCTGCGAGAAAGTAGTTTTAAAATTTACCACGCGTTAAAATCAAATTGATTTAATTCTAATAATAAAGGATTGAGTTCAGAAAAATTCTACCCTTAATCTGGTCTCAAGAGAAGACATGAAAATTCCTAGTAACCAGACCTTATTGTGCAAGTGCAGGACAACTCCAATCATCTTGCTATGAGGTGCCTTTACGATATTTAATGACAATTAGTGATGTCACCTATTTGAAATACATGTAGGTGATAACACCAACTGAGTAGGTGATATCAAATATTTTAAGCGTCCCTCATACCTTGCAAAAGATGAAGCAGCTTAATAAAATATACTTATGAGCAGTGTCGGGAACATTTTTTGTTGTTGTTCAAACGATGACCCACTGTTCGTCCCTTCTTCCCATTAATCCACTAAGGTTATTTACGAAAATACCAAAACCTATTTGAATATCTGCAATACACATCGGGTCATTTTACAAAAGATGAGATGGTTACTGTTTAAAATATAAGACGATTTTTAAAAAGAGAGTTTTTTGTAAAATATAAAATGCCGTCGTTTTCGACATATATTTGGGCCCAGAGAGACATTGAAAATAAAATTCTGAAACCTCATTTCAAATCACCCTCATTCATTTTAACAAAAGATGAAATAAAGGGTTCTTGGAACAAGAATGGTGAAGGGGGAAAATGTTTTTCGACCTCTGTTTGGACCCTCAGACATAAAACAACAAAATCTCCAAACCTTATTACATATCTAGTCAACACGTATTGTCTTGTAATAGATGATTCAGCTACTATATAAAAAAAATTAAAAAGTTCTGAAAACGAGAATTGTTGGGGGAAACTGTGTTTCGAAACAATTTTGACACCGGGATTAAAATGAAAAATCCCAAACCTTTATGATATCTAAATGACAGCAAATTTCATATTCCAAAAGTCAAATTGGTATTGAAAAAGATGCTTGAGTTTCTGATCGACAATATCTATATGATGTTTGGAGACCAGATCCTCCAACAATCCATTAAAATCCTGATGGTTACTAATTGCACCCCGGTCGTTATTAGAAGACTATTTTTGTATTTATATGAAGCAGACGTTGTCCAAAATCTTACACGTGAAAAAAATAGAACACTTGCTGTGGCTTTGAACTCAACATTTAGATATATCCACTACGTATTGTCAATCAAAAATTGTAATTTCTATTCTTATGTCGATACGATATATCCCGGTGAGTTGGACACTCATTTAGATATTTTGCTTGAAATAGTCATTAATGGTAAGCTAACAACCAAGCTTTATGAACACCATGATGACTTTTACTTTTTAATCTTCAACTTCAATTACTTATGCAGCAATATACCTTCATACACTACATACGGTGTTTATATCTCTCAGTTGATCTGATACGCAACAGATGCTCTACGTATGTAGAAATTCTAAAACGAGGTAAATTATTGACAAACAAGTTGTTAAAACAATAATATCAGCAGTCTCATTTTAGGTCATCATTTGGTAAATTCTATGGCCGATACGATGACCTTGTCAGGAAATACAATTCATCATTTAAAAGTCAAATACTGACTGATGTTTTTATATCATTTGTTATGCCATTATATACACAATCTTTCAGCAGAATTGCTTTCTGCACATATGCAATCTAACTGTACATGCGACGTATACATTAGACGTTTGTAGATTTTTACTGTGAATCTAATCTGAGTGATTCTACTACGGACAATTCTGTTGAAGGTTATTTTAAATTAATTTCATTTTACACAGTAACTACCTCATCTTTTTCTAAGGTTATTTCAAATTAGGTTGATTAATTGCAAACATTTACATTGCCTATAATGAAAACTTATTTTTTGCAGTTTAATTTTCTCTTCTAAATATTTTTTTTCTATTTCTGAACACTAAACTAATGTATATTTATGGTTTCAAACATCCGAAATCCATTAATCTACACGGTCAGCAACAAAAACCTGATAATGATTTGACAGTTATCACATGCATTGACGTTGTTCGCATGTCGTGTTGTCGCCTCAAGTTTCCATGAAACGAGAGGATAAACTTCCAACTTAATGTGATACAACTGTGATCGCCATACTTTTGATCAAAGGTTTATAAAACACTGATCCCAATAGACAAAATAATTGTTTCGTGATGCAAATGCTACACAGTTTAATCAACAGATATTGTTTTCTGAATGTCAAAATGTTAATGGAACTTCGCTGCTGATGTTCCGACTTCATGAAAATTCAGTTGTCCTGATCGACGTAGGCATGCAATTATGAAACATTTAAGGTACAACTGATAAATAATTATCAAATTTATTTCCTCAATAAAAAACATTTTTTAATTAAACATTTGTTTTACATTTCCTTTTTCAGATAGCATATTGACTGTTTAAATTTGATTATGCGGTATCGTGGAAATGTGCAATCCACTGCAAAACTACAATGCAGATTAATTATTTTCGTTAAAAGTGTTTGTCTTTCTTTATGCTCGATCTCATTTAATCGACTCCAGTTCTAAAGAATTTTTGTTTTGATACAATTCACTTGGTCATTGCTTTCTTCTGTGTTGGATGTTATTGGAGGACACCTCAAATTGCGTTTTATCATTGTTAAGGACAGATGATACTTTTGTAAAAAAAGAAAAAAAAGAAAAAATTAAAAATAACAATTTAAGTCATGTTTTGATAAGTAAATGAACAAGTTTCACCGTGTAGTTTTTAATTTTTTGTTCAGAGTTTCACAATACTGGTAATAAGATTTGAAGTGAAAAAAAATTTGTATAGATTAATAAGGACTGTTGCAGAAAGGTAGAATTTTGAACATCATAGAAGGTTTACATTTTCTTAATATTTTAGTAATTTATTATCATCATCATTTGGAACAAAAATAGGCCCAGAAATATATAACCAATCCAGGCATCCATTTTTTTGTATCATCTGTACTTAACGAGGTTGGCTCCTGATATTTAAAGTCTTGAACTTTTTTTGTCAAGTATATTTTTAGTTTCTACACACATAACTTAGTTAAAAATCAAATCCAAAAATGGGGGTCAATATGCTTCTTTTGGCGCTACAGTACATTTAATATGACCTTTTTGCACTGAAATTTCTGTCTTAACTCTTTACAACTTACTGAATTAATATGCAACATACACTAAATGTTCACGTCATAGAAATATGACGTTACCATTTCCCTGCAAGCACTTTATAGCGGAGAACAAGTTTCTCTTAAGTTTAGCCATCGTCGCAAACCACGGACGATGAAGTTTAGCGTAAATAATATTATGACGTAATATTTAATAACAAAATATTTTTTCTTAT